TGAAGGAGAGCCGTCTAACCAAGAATACCTGTGCTGCTGTGTCAGTGAAAAATAAATCTTTATTCTGTTAAATCACTGTAATATGGGTTAATTCATTATAAAGGTTGGCTTACTTTAGAAGTATATCATTTATATATATTAAAACACATAAGCACATAGTTATATTTCGAAGATACATACATATCCAAACACATACTGAACACATTGAAGTGTGTGTCTGGGTCAGGGAGAGGAATGAGAATAGGGATCAGGGATTAAAAGAAGAAAATCAAACAAAAAGGGGCCTGGTATCAACTGATAACAAGAGGTCACCATGCTCCGCCGAGCATGGTTTAACAAGGAATTAAAAAATAATAATTTAAAAGAGAGACAACTAATCTACTCTTTGTAGAGAGAGCTCAGGCTAGTGTTAGCTGGTAATTATCTTCTACCTTGAGGATGAACAAGGTATGATCTGGAGAGGAGGCAGTGTTGAAGACAGAGCCTGTTGGAACCATCCACTACATTCACCAAGGAAGTCTCAGGTCTGAAAAGTTCCCTAACTGAGACTTTCTCCCAAGTATGACCTTCACTCTCAGCTCTCTTTGGTAGTGATGCAGGAGGCATTTGCCATTCTCTAAACATGGGGCCTGGACCTGGCTATCTTCCCTTGGCACCACCTCTCACTCCAGGCTGAAGGAGGCTTGACACAGCTGAGAGGCTTGTTCTGGGCCTGGGTGCATCTTCCTGCCCACCCTCCATCTCTGCTTGAGGGCTGAATAACGGTCCTTTCTCCAAAGATGTTCAAGTCCTAATCTCCAGAATCTGGGAATAGTTTACCTTATATGGCAAAAATTACTTGGAAGCTATGGTTAAGGTAGGGATCTTGAGATGGGGAGATGATTCTGTTATCACAGTGGGCCCAATGTAAGCACAAGGTTATGTAATCACAATGTAATCCTCCTAATAGGAGACAGGAGAATCAGAGAAAGATGTAAGAATGGAAGTAGGGGTCAGAAAGGTGGAATACTATGTTGCTGGCTTTGAAGATGGAGGAAGGGGCCATGAGTCAAGGAACACAAGCAGCCTCTAGAAGCTCGAAAAGGCAAATAGATGGACTGCCCCCTAGAGTCTCCAGAAGAGGTTACCAACACTTTTTAACTTAACCCAGTGAAATTGATTTCAGACCTGTGACCTCCAGGAATGTAAGATAATACATTTGTGTTGTTTTAAGCCATTAAGTTTGTGACAGTTTGTCATAGCAGCAATAGAAAACATGTACACTGGCTCTGCTGCTGGGCAGTATAACCTGGTCTCCTAGGAGAGTAAGGTCTGTGAAAAGGAAATGGGGAATCAGGGAAGACTTCCTGGAAGCCCCTGCAGTCAGACTGACCTAGGTTCATACCATAGTTCATTTATTATCTATCTGTTAATAATGCATTATTTATAGTGTTGCTGAGAATGGAATACTACTTTAAATTTCCTATTCCTAATTAACCACTTTTTAAATTATAAGTCACGTCTCTTCCTGGACACATATTTATTCCTCCATCTGGGTGTTACTGAACACCCGGTACGCGCCTGGCCCCATGTACAGTGTGAGCCTGAGTCCACTGCAAGCTCCAAACATTTCTCACCTAAGCTGCCACTGAGCTCCCGGTCAATCCAGTGCTCAAGTTCACGACCCTATCCTAAATGCAGGCTCTCATACCTGAGCATTCACATGGTCTCACGTCTCCTTGATGGACTCATCCCAGCAGCATCACCCCTTACCCTCTCAGGTGCTGTTTCCACAGCTACCAAGAGCAGTCTCGCCTCTGCCTTCACCCTGACCCTGACAAATGTCTGCAGCCCACTTAGAGGATAGTATGTTCCCTCTGGTTATATTTTCAAGACTCCATTTTCATCTCATTCTTTTTTGTCTTTCTGCATCTCTCTCCCTTTTCATGTCTTCTTCTTTGAGCTCCTAAACAGGTCCTCTTCATAACCTGGAAAGGTCTAAACTAACAGGAGAGCTAAGCCTTAAACAGTCAGTACAGAGGCAGGTAGGAGGGACCAAGGGTGTGTGTTTACCGGCTTCTCTGGGAGTGAAATGAAATCTAAGGTATTGAGACGGGATATCCAGGTTACCTGGAGTTCCCAGGCAGCCCCACTCACCCACCTCTCTAGCCTCTCAACACCTTCAGATGCCTATCCAAACTGAGCTGTAACCCCTTGACTTTGAAGCTCCCAACTCCTTAGGATCCAGCTGAATTTATCTTTTGTCTCCCACCCCATCCCCTGCTTCTAATGTCCAGGTCTGTAATGGTGAATTCTGATCCCATGATGTTGGGCCTACTCACCCTGCCTTCCCAGAAAAATATTTGGTCCAGGACTGATTTTCCTTGTATCCCTGGTCCAGATTAATGCACCCTTTACCCAATTCTGGTCCAGGAGTCTCTTTCCTCAGAGCCTGTTGCTCTTTCTGTAAACACCAAGCTGCCTCTCTAGATAAGAACCTGAGTGTTAAAACAGGGAGAAAATTGCTTTCAGATTCTTTGGGCTTGGATGATGTTGACAGGGTGCGGTGGGGGAATAGTTGGCAGGTGATCTGGCTTCTTTAACCTGAGGATCCTCACAGAGTTACCACGGGCAAATCTGGGGCACTCTCTGCCTTCTCTAGGCCTGTCTCTCTAACCTGTCAGTGCAATGAGAGGGCTGGTCTTCATTAAGGCTCTATTTGAGCCGGAAGCTTTCACCCAGCTACTCCAGCAATGGTGCATAATGGCCACAAGAGGGCGGACAACCTCTTCAGCTCAGGAGTTTGTAGATGAAATGAACCAGCAAGCTTAAAAAAAGGAATACAAGGGTTTCAAGCAGAAAGGTAGTTACCCGAAGTCACCACAAAATGGCAACAGGGTCAGGATACTGGGGAAGGGTACTTGAATTCCCAGCCTAAAGGGAGGTCAGGAGCCCCGAAGCCAAGAGGGATCGTGAGGAGAGGGCTGGTGGGCAGCAAAGAAGAGACTTACTTATATTCTTTAGAGATTTCAATCCCTTTGAGAGGAAAGGAGGAAACATGGTCTTTAGAGGAGAGCCACAAATCAAATGTATTGCCCGAAAAGGATCTGGGTGGGGGTTTCAGGACAAGACTTGAGGAGTTTATGGGAACTAGAGATGAACAACTTGGCTTCTGTCCCTCCCCCAACATAGAATGAAAAGTAGAGAAACTGCAGGACTTATTCTAGGATTTGAGGAAGAGTCCTCAAGTCAGGAAATGAAGTCACTTAGTCATATCCAACTCTTTGCGACCCCATGAACTGTAGTCTGCCTGGCTCCTCTGTTCGTGGGATTTCCCAGGCAAGAATACTGGAGTGGGTTGCCATTTCCTTCTTCAGAGGATCTTCTCAACTCAGGAGGGCACAGTAAATAGGCAAGGATCACCTGACATCCTTTTTTTCTCCTTTTTGCCTTTCAATAATCTATTAATAGTTTCAGGGCCCAGGAAAGACAGGGACCAAAAGAGGGGCAGTACCTGGGGTTCCAAGAGTTAATTTCTAAGAATTCATACTCTGACATCAGTCATAGCCCTCATCTCCACCCTGTCTCTGGGCCTGTCCCCTTGCTGAGCCCCAGGTTGGCAGCTTCCCTGAGTCCCTTCTTTGGTATAACTCACTAGGGCCCTGGGACCCAGGACCAGAGCCAGTGCCCTGCTTCCTCTGCAGTCCCAGGAGTCTAGAGCTTGCTCTAAGAGAGGAAGGAAAGCAGTCTTTCCCTCCTACTCTCCCCCTCCCAGGATGCGGGCCCTAAGACCAAACAGCTTCAGTCTTTCTCTGCCACGCCCCCCATTGTAACACAGACCAGGGGATTCCTTGTGTCCCAGCCACAGGGCGGCATCCTAGTGTCCAAATGGTGGAAGGTCTGGGGCAGGATGGGGGAAGGGGAATCACAGGATCTGAGAAAATATCCCCCCCTTTTGGAGACTGTGGTACACCCCAAGCTTCTCCCTCTGGCTCCCATCAGAAGTTGAAGAGACAAGGCTGAGGGACTCATCTGCATATTAAAGGCCTGAGGCCCAGAGTAGAAACTGAGGTGTGGAGACACAAAGGCTGAACCTTCTGGCAGACAGATTTGGAGCCAGAATACAAGAATGGAGGCAACCGAGGGACAGAGTAAGACAAGGGACTATGGCAGGGCAGGCCAAACAGACTGTTGAGATCTGTAGGTGGAGGCCCCTGCCAGTTTCCTCCCTAAAAGCAGAGAAACAGGAGTGCAGGCACCAGACAGGCAGGTGGTGAGAGAGGAAGTGAGAAGCCCTAGAATAAAATGAGAACTCCCTGTTTAAATAGAAAGAACCTTTCTGAGAAGTGCAAACATCTGACTGAGAAACTTTCCTGCCAGGAGGGTAGTATATTCCCATTCACAAGACGGAATGGTAGGGAGAATAAATAATATGGTCTCACTCAGCAGCAGAGGTTCAAATACCCCTATATTTATCATCACTAAAAGACTGGTACAAAGGAAAGGCTAATCCATCCTGGCAGGAAATGACATCACTCACCAGACAGGAAGGGGTGGCCCTACCAACCCCAAAGGCTTCTGGGAGGGCCAATCCATGGAGGGTTGGCCCTGAATGTCCATGTCCCTCCACAGTCCTCCATGTTGGCCAAGAGTGGGGCTAAGGTTCCTAGAAGTTGGGTGAGGTAATCACATCCCAGTCCCTTCATCAGTGATTTCATAGGGATGCTAAACCCTCAAATCTTTATCTAGTTGTGGGGAAAGGAGAAGAGATACTATCACACCTGGAGCCACAGGTCAAGCCTCTAGAGTCCATGTATCTATGGAAATAGCTCTTGGGACCCAATAATTGAAGGTTAAAGGCAGAGCCTCCCCAGGGACCAGAGGGATGGTAAGGCCAGGTTTCCTGGTAACTGATTTCAGTGCAGCCTCTTCCTAATTCCAAATAGAGGGAGAACAAATTCAAGGGAGACCAGGGCCTAGTGAGGAAAGAGCCATAGGAGTGCAAAAGGGTGGAAGAGTTGTTACAGGAAGGTCACATCATCCTGGCACTGGCCCCAGTACCAGTGCGTCTCAAAGCCCAGCTTGGCACTCTCATCCTCTGGCGGCTCAGGGGGTGCACCTTGCAGCCCCTCCCCTGGGGGTTTCCACATGGCCTTCAAGCTCCCTAGCCTGGTGGCTGTCAGGTCCACCTCAGTCCTGGCCCTCTCCCCACCAGGTATAACCTTTGCCCAGTCCATCTCGGGACGGGGAGCCCCAGGGGGGCCGTGTTCATCCAGCTCGCTGGGCGCCACTGTGTCCAGGAAGCTGCCGATGGAGACACTGTCCAGCCGGTCAGTGGAGCTGGTGTCTGGCAGGCTGTCCCAGCTGCCTCGCCTTGAGCGGCCTGGGCTCCCGCCTGTCAGGCTATATTGGCTGCTGGTGAGGCTGCTGCAGTGGCTGGTCAACGTCCCCCTCTCCTCCAACAGCCAGCGCACCGCCTCAATGCCCTCGTTCAAGGTCACCAGCTGCTGCAGGATCTTCACATCGATGGCTCTCAGGTAAGCCTAGGGGAGTGGGAGAAGAAATCAGTCCTAGGTTCTGGACACGGGTTTCCCCAGTGTTTCTAGAGGCCTCTACCTTGTAATCCAACAAACTATGCTTGACTTTCAAGAATCATGTAAATAGAATGGTTTGGACTGTAGGCATTAGAAGCAGACAGATTGTTGCTTAAAATCTCAGCTCTACAACTGATCAGCTTTATGACTGTGGGCAACTTTCTTGCCTTTGTTGGGCCTGGGTTTCCTTGTTTGTGAAATAGGTTTAAATGACTCACCTCAAAGGGTGGTTGGGAGAGTTTTGAGATGTTGTCTGTTAAATATGGACCACTGTACCTGGTATAGAGTAAGATCTCAGTAAATATTAAATATTAAAATCCAATCCTACTAAGATTTAAACTTCACAGATAGGATATTTACTACTGAACCAGTCCAGATTCACCAGTAAGACTTAGAAGCAGTTATCCAAAAAGTTGCCTTGTGGGGGGCCAAGTGTTAATTGGGAAATAGATTGGGCCAAACAGAGGCATGAGCTGGGGGCGTGGCATAAAGAGGATGCTAAGCTGGTCTCCCAGTCCCTCTGGGGTGTGGCAGTAGCTGCTGTGGGGAGGGAAGGGTTGGCTAGAGCTTCAAAGGGTCAGCATCCTGCTGGCTAGGGATTTGGGGCTTCCCTCTACTATACACCAGTCTCCCTTGCACTAAGGGCAAGTCTGACTTACTGGGTAATCTCTAGGGTCCTTTCCAGCTCAGATGCACTGAGTTTTCTTCCCCAAGCACAAGTCTGAACTTGTCCCTCCCTTGCTCAAGAACCTTTAAGGGCTTTGCACTGCTCTCAGAAAATAAAATCTTTGGAATATTTTAGCAGCAGATATTCAAAAGCCTGTCATAATATGGCTCATGCTCATCCCTCTAACTTCATCTCTACCATATCTCCATGGGAACTCCAGGTCCTGCCACACATAACTTTTAAAATTTCATTTCATTTAGTTTCACTTTTAATAAAAGTAATAGATTACATAGATTAAAGAAGCAAACAGTTCTGCAAGATTTGTTAAGAAAAGTAACAGTTTCTCCATTCTAAATCCCACTTGCCAGAGACAACTACTATTAATTTTTTAGCTGTTTATTTTGTTGTGTGCGTGCCCAGTCGCTTCAGTTGTGTCTAACTCTGTGTGACCCTACAGAATATAGCCAGGCTCCCCTGTCCATGGGATTCTCCAGACAAGAATACTAGAGTGGGTTGCCATGCCCTCCTCCAAGGGATCTTCCGAACCCAGGAATCAAACCCATGTCTCCTATGTCTCCCACATTACAGGTGGATTCTTTCCTGCTGAGCCATCAAGGAAGCCCATTTATTTTGGTACTTACCTTCTAATTTCTAAATAACTGCTTACTGATTTTTAAGTATTTTCTATTGACTTTGTACATAATAGAAGGTTAAGGATTTAACTCTTTCATCCTACTCCCTATATCCCTGCCATACTCATACCCTCACCATTTTATTACAACATATGAAATAAAATTAATTATTCAGCATTTACCTTATTAGAATTTGGAAATGCTACTCACAGCTAAGCTATGTGGTTTACTGTGGTTACTTTTCCTTTTTTACAACTTTAAGTTTTCCTTTTCAGATAATAATTATTATCCTTATTATTACTACTACTACCACAACTATTTTGCCTAGTTTGGTATGTTGTTATCAGTAAGTCATCCCTAAACTCTCTCCCAGTAGTCTGAATTTCCCTCTCAAAGCTTTATTTTTTTTAATTGAAGTATAATTGCTCTACAAGGTTGTATAAGCTTCCACTGTACAATAAAGTGAAACAGCTATATGTATACATATATGCCCTTCCTCTTGAGCCCCCCTCCCACCCCCCACCTCATCCCTCTAGGTCATCACAGAGCACTGAGTTGAGCTCCCTGTGCTATACAGCTCCTTTCAACTAACTGTCTATTAGACACATTATAGTGTATATATATCAGTTCAGTTCAGTTCAGTTGCTCAGTCATGTCCAACTCTGCGACCGCATGAACTGCAGCACGCCAGGCCTCCCTGTCCCTCACCAACTCCCAGAGTTCACCCAAACCCATGTTCATTGAGTCGGTGATGCCATCCAACCATCTCATCCTCTGTCATCCCCTTCTCCTCCTGCCCTCAATCTTTCCCAGCATCAGGGTCTTTTCAAACGAGTCAGTTCTTCACATCAGGTGGCCAAAGGATTGAAGTTTCTGCTTCAGCATCAGTCCTTCCAGTGAACATTCAGGATTGGTTTCCTTTAGGATGGACTGGTTGGATCTCCTTGCAGTCCAAGGGACTCTCAACAGTCTTCTCCAACACCACAGTTCAAAAGCATCAATTCTTCGGTGCTCAGCTTTTTTTTTATAGTCCAACTCTCACATCCATGCATGACTACTGGAAACACCATAGCCTTGACTAGATGGACCTTTGTTGGCAAAGTAATGTCTCTGCTTTTTAATATGCTATCTAGGTTGGTCGTAACTTTCCTTCCAAGGAGTAAGCGTCTTTTATATATATCAGTACTACTCTGCCAATTCATTCCACCCTCCCCAAGACTTTTAAACATATCACATGCTCTATCTAGTCCCTCTTCTCCGAGGCAGCTTCTGACCTGCTCCAGTCTGTCCCTGCTGCACACCTACCCTCCAGAGATCATCTCCTTCCACTATCACCTCGGTGACTCCCTTTGCCTCTCTTGAGTTGGATCCCAATTCCTGGATCCCACATCTTTTTCATTGATTTACTCCTTAATGTATGTGTGGCACTTTTCCTCCAGTAGCTTCCCAAAAAAAGTCTGCATAGACTATACCTACATAGGAGGTATATTTTTTTGAAGCTTCACATGTTTTAAAACATTGTTATTCATTCCTCACACTACTGACTGATTAGCTGAGCACAGAAATCTAGGTTGAAAATAACTTTGTCAGAATTTAAAGCATTGTTTCATCATCTTCTAATTTTCAGTGCTACATTTAAAAAGTCTGATGCCATTCTGATATTGTATGTGACCACCTTCCCACTCTTTCCAGAAGTTTTTAGGATCTTCTCATGATCCTCAGTGTCCTAAATTATCACAATGATTTACCATCATGTGATTCTGCTTTCATCCTCTGAACTGGTCATTTGTTGGGCACTTTTAATCTGTAGGCTCATGTTCTCCAGTTCTGGGAGATTTTAATTATTTCATTGATGATTTTATATATATATATATACACACACATATATATATATGAAAATACATATATATATATGAAAGAGTGAAAGTGTTTAGTCGTTCAGTCGTGTCCAACTCTTTGCAACCCCATGGATTGTAGCCTGCCAGGTTCCTCTGTCCATGCAGTTCTCCAAGCAAGAGTACTGGAGTGGGTTGCCATTTTCTTCATCAGGGGATCTTCCCGACCCAGGGATCAAACCTGGGTCTCCCACATTGCAGGCAGATTTTTAATTGTCTAAGCCACCTGTCCACCTATACACACACACACATTTTTTGTTCTTCCTGGAAATATCTTTATTTGGATAGAAGGTACCCGGAATGGATCCTCTATTTTTTCTCTCTTCCTCCTCTTTCTATGTGTATTCTAGTTTGTGAAACATTTCAACATTATCAACCCTTCTATTGAGTTTTCCAATTTTTTCCTATCATGTTTTTATTTTCAAGAGTTGTTTCTAGATCTTGGATTTTTTTTTCTTCTTCTTTTTCTTTTTAGGTGTGGCATGCAGGATCTTTTACTTGCAGCATGCAGAATCTTTAGATATGGCTTACAGAATGTTTAGTGGGATCTAGCTCCCTGACCAGGGATCAAACCCTGGTCCTCTGCATTGGGAGTGCAGAATCTTAGCCACTGGACCACCAGGGAAGTCCTTACATGTTTCCTTTTATAACTTTCCATTTTTTGTTCATGACTGCAATATTATCTCATCTCTTTAAGGATATAATTAACAATTATTTAAGTTCTTATCTCTCTGAATATCTCTATTCAAGTTTTTTTTTCTCCTGTTTGTTTAAGTCTATATAGTTAAAGGCTTTCATCAGTCTTATAATCTTAAGCTGATGCTCACACTTCAGACTGGTCTCTGAAAAAGCTGATTGGAAACTCTGTGCCTGAGGCTTGCCAACCCTGAACCTCACTAAGAGTCATTCAGTGAGGCTGTTCAGTTGGGTAAAGTAGGTAGTATCTTTTGTGTGTGTGTGTGTGTGTGTTTGTGTTTCTCTTGGGTTCATAAGATTCACTATATTATACCCATTTAGAGAATATAATGTAAGCAAAGCTGCCATTATTCTGGGAGCCAAGTAAGGGAAAGGCTGGGAGGGGTATTACATAACATTTGGCATATTTTAATTTAATCCCTCTTGCTCTCAGACTCTGCTTGGTGTCTCCCAATCTGGAGACCTTTGGTTTTATTATTTTTTAAATATATATTACTTGGTAAGTGTTTATTGAACTATTCAGGAAATAATTGCTTCACTTAGACCAGCAATGATAAGCCAAAAATAAGACTGAGTATTTGTACACTGAGAAAAATATAGCCACTGGAATTAAACAGTCCTAGATTCAAATTCCGGTTTTGCCGCTAATGAGCCATATGAAATGGGAATATTTTTTTTCCTTTAAGCCATCATTTCTTCATGGTAAAAGAGGATACTCTCTAAAGGTTTATTAAGAAGTAGAAGGGACATTCACAGGCATGGCATACTGTCTGACAAGTATTCACTAATCAATAAGAGGTAGCTACACCTATTGTTATAATTAACTTAACTACTATGGCATAAGCACAGAAAATCTTGTCCTTGAAATTATTTGTGTTTTTGGAAGAATATCCCAACTTGAATTCAATTAAACAAATGATTATTGGGTACCTGGATCTTCTAGTAATTACACAAAGACAACCTAGACAGCATATTAAAAAGCAGAGACATTACTTTGCCAACAAAGGTCTGTCTAGTCAAAGTTATGGTTTTTCCAGTAGTCATGTATAGATGTAAGATTTGGATTATAAAGAAAGCTGATAAAAAATATTAAAAATATATAAAATAATAATAATAAAATAAAAAATAAAAGAAATAAATAAATAAAAGAAAGCCGAGCACCAAAAAATTGATGCTTTTGAACTGTGGTGTTGGAGAAGACTCTTGAGAGTCCCTTGGACTGCAAAAAGATCCAACCAGTCCATCCTAAAGGAAATCAGTCCTGAATGTTCATTGGAAGGACTGATGCTGAAGCTGAAGCTCCAATACTTTGGCCACCTGATGCAAAGAACTGGCTCATTTGAAAAGACCCTGATGCTGGGAAAGACTGAAGGCGGGAGGAGAGGGGGACAACAGAGGATGAGATGGTTGGATGGCATCACTGACTCAATGGACATGAGTTTGAGTAAATTCCGGGGGGGGGGGGGGCGGGGGGAGTTGGTGATGAACAGGGAGGCCTGGTGTGCTGCAGTCCATGGGGTCACAAAGAGTTGGACACGACTAAGCAACTGAACTGAACTGAACACAAAAATAATGGAGAAACTCTCCCTACTTAACAGAAGCTTACAGTTTCAATAAGGAGATCTGGTCATAAATAACGGAAGTACCATAGACTATACAGACTATTAATGACACAAGATAAAAGAGATTATATTCAATTATTTCATGCTGGGGACAAATAGATTAAAGGTGAAACCATTTAGTCCATGACCAAACTAAATGTATTAAACAAAACTCATACTAAAAAATGCTTCTCCTGCTTTATTTTCTCCTGCCTTCCTTCCTCTTTCCTCTCTTCTTCCATCCCTCCCTCCTTCCCTTTCTTCCTGCCTTCCAGCCTTCTGCCCTTCCCCTTCGTCCCTTCCTTCTGTTCCCTTCTTTCCAAAACGTACATTTCCAGTCTTCTGCGATGATAAGGGAGTAGTGGGCAATTAGTTGCCCAGTTGTGAAGGGAATCTTAAAGAGTATGATTCTTAGATAGACATTCATCAACCCATTTGTGTTCAGCTCCATTTGCACCCTCAGTTCCAGAAATATCTGAGAACAGCTCCTGAGACCTTTGAGGTGCAAAATGGATTGCTTTTCTGCTTTCTTCACTGCTGGCTTGGAATTCAGCTTTTTTCAAGTCTACTTAGTTACTACTCTTCCTTCTGCTTTCAGCTTCCAGATTTTATTCCTATCACCTTCTCTCCTATTCTTATCCTAATGGCTTCATGGCTTTAAAAATAAGCTCTTTACTGGCTTTTAGTGGAGTTTCAAGAGGGAATGGAAGTAAATGCATGTGTTTAATGTGCCATCTTGAACTGAATTCCCATTGACTCTATTCAAGGCCCAACTCAAATGTTGCCTCCTCTAGAAAGTCTTCCCCATACTTCTTCAAGATGAAATTAAGCCACTCGGTCATGGAACAGTATTTATTGAGTGTTTTTTATAGGCATGGCATTTTGTAGATAAAGCAAGAAAAGACACCATTTCTTGCCCTTGGAGTGGATAAGATAAGACAAAGATACAAGCACTTAAAATTCAGAGCAAGAAATGCGAGGGAACATAAATGCTGCACAGAGAGCTGTGGGTACCTAGAGGACTACAACCTAACGAGGGGAGTAAGGAAATGCTTCCTAGAATAAAGAACAGGAGCTGAGACTTGAAAGTCAAGTGAGTCTTAGCCAGACAAAGCAATGGAGAGTCATTGTAACCAGAGGAAATAGCTTGCTTCTCCAATTCAGTTGTGCCTTTCCAGAACACAAATCTGACCATGTCACTCTACAGTGAAGACCTTCCAAGAAGTACTCCATGGGTTCCAGCACCTGTACCACAGTGGCTAGTCTGTTTCTACCCTAACCTAGACTATGAGCTCCCTGAGAGTAGCAAGTCCCACCCAGTTCATTTATGGTGCTTAGCCTAGGATTGGGTAGGTCGGCTTCAGTGCTGTGATTCTCTGGCCTTCATTTTCTTTGGTGTCTTTGCTGGTCTCAGGGTTTGGGGGCTGGGTTTTATCACATTAGTGGGAAATGAATCTGAGCAGCAGATCCTGTAGTCCTGTGACAGTGGGATTCCCTGACTGTGACAGCACAGCTCCTCAGAATAGAAGAAAGCAAAGCTTTCTTGCCAGAAAAAGAAACACTCATTTCACACCAGTCTCTCTGGAAACAGAAAGGGGATAAACAGCGCAGAAGAGACGCAGCCTCAGAGGCCACTCCAACCCAATTCTCTTCCCAGGGGAATTCAGGTTCCCCATTCCTCCCTTAACAAGGACACATCAGACGCTCTGACCAGCCCTAAGGTCACAAGTACAGCTCACTCACAGGCTCAGTCTAAGTCAAGTCCTAGCACAAAAACCCAGAGATCTGAGTCTTAGCTCTCTGGTTTGAGACTGAGATTCCCAGACTATTGTTACCCTCTCCACCGTCCCCCTTCCCTCCCTCTAGAAGTAGAAAAACCGAGGCCAAAGAGAGTCAGGTCTCTGCTCAAAATCACAAAATGATTCAGGAGCAGAGCCAAGACTTGAACCCAAGCCTTCTCTCTCCCCGCCTAATGCTTTTTCTCAACTGTTCTGTGGGGGTGGGTTGCCATAGCAACAGTTCTGTGGGTGGGAGGATTAAGTATGGGAGGTTGCCCTTGTTTTCCCTTCCCACAGATCCCAGAGTCTGTCTGGTTCACTCAACTTTTGAGTAGGGGAGGGAAGTGGCCAAGAGGCAGGGATGACCTTGGCCTCAAGGGCAGGCCTGCCCGCTCCCTGCAGGAAAGCTGGGTGAGGGGCAGTTGAAGGACACTATTTACAGGGCTTGGACTAGTTCTGCCACAAGTGGCTCCAGGGGAACCCCCCCACTGCCCCACCCCTTGTCCTCCCCAGCGCAGAGTGCATAAAGAGACCAAAGGTGCCTTTGCAGAGGAGGGAGAAAGGAATGGAGTAGGGCACTTAGGGAATCTCTCCCTGAGCAGGACCAGAAGGCTCCCTCCCTTGTGTCTTTCACAGGTAGTCTTGGGCCCCAGGCCAGGCTGGGTCAGAAATGCAGAAAGACCCAAACAAAAGTGAAATGTATCCTTTCAAGTTTACCAATAGGTAATCTCCACCAGGGCTTCCCAGGTGGTGCCAGTGATAAAGAACCCGCCTGGCAATGCAGGAGACTGAGAAGACCCCGGTTCGATCCCTGGGTCAGGAAGATCTCCTGGAGGAGGGCATGGCAACCCACTCCAGTATTCTTGCCTGAAGAATCCCATGGACAGAGGAGGCTGGCAGGCTACAGTCCATGGGGTCGCAAAGAGTCGGACACAACTGAAGCGACTTAGCACACACGCAGTCTCCACAAAAGACAGGAAAGAGTTAAAGCCAGAGAGACCAGCCATGGCTCCTCCCAGTGTGAGCTCAGGCAAGCCCCTCAGCACCTGCAAGCCTGTTTCCTCTGTGAGACGGGAAAAGGATAACTGCTTTTCTCCCTCCACTGACGTAAAAGACATTTAATGCATCTGGCACAAAGCAAGTCTCAGTACTGAAAATGTAAAGTGCAGGAGAATCATCTGAATTCAAAACTTGGCTATACTTTTTACTTTTTGTCTGACTTTGGGCAGCTACTTAGCCTCTCTGTGCCTCAGTTTCTTCATCTATAAAATATCCCTTACCTAATAAGTTTCCGTGAGAACTAGGAGACTATCTTCTAAAATGTTCAGCATGATTCCTGGCACATGCACTTGGTGAAAGTTAGTTTCCAAAGCAAGACATTCTAAGTTAGCTCTTTCTCTGCCCTGAGCTAAAGTTTGTACAGTGAGGAAAAGCCAGACCCTTCCCTTAGGTGGGCACAGTTACAGCCCTACTGGGGAGAATCTGGCAATAGCTTCCAATCTTCAAGGCCAAATGCACACATGGCATTCAAATCCTTCCCCCAGGGAGCCTTCCCTGACTGCTTTGCCCACAAAACTCTCCTTCCATCCTCTCAGGAAGCCCCAAGACCTCCCTCCCAACGTTTCCCTACACAAACACACAGACACACACACAAATACACACACACACCCCTCAGCATGGCACAGAACTGGGCACAGTGGGGCTCCAGGAAGACCTGTTAGCTGACACACTGTGGGCTCCTGGTTCTAGGCCAGAAAGTAGCTGGCAATTCCTCAGTTCCCTAGAATTGGTTGCAAAGTGGTGGCAGGTGTAGATCACCCCCTTCACCGGAACCAGAGCCCTAGGGAGCCTGGGAGGCCCCAACTGCCCTTTTGGCTCTGAATCTAGAGCAGCAGCAACAGGGAAGGGGCTGGGTGCTGGTTTCCTCCTCTTCTCCCCAAGGAAGTGCAGGTGAGATGCAAATCTCCAATGTACTGGGGGGGGGGGGGTGCTGGCAGGAAAGAGACAGGGTCTGAGGAGGTGAGACCAACTCGCTGGTGCTGCTCCTCTGTGTCTGCTAAGCTCCTAGGAACTTTCAGATATTGTCTGTGGGTGTGGGGGATGCTGGGGAAAGAGGATGTTTTTAGTGGCCCTAGTCCAGGCAGTTTTCACCCAAATCTCTTCTGTGCAGAGTGTTGGGATGGATACTGGAGCCACAGAGGAACAAACCCCGGGCCCAGTTTGGAGGAGGAGAAAAAAAAACTGTTGCCCTGTAATGGTGGCTAGGGGGAAAGGAGGAGCTAGATTTGTGCTGTCCTAGCTTCTCAGGGCTTCCCAACCCTCACCTCTCCCCTCCCAATTATTTGGCCAAAAAAAACAACCAACTTACCAAATCCTATACCTCCCACTTGGAGTCAATACTCCACTCACCCTTGGTGGGGAAGGCAATTAATGAACCCCAAGGATTAAAGATTGATCTGGTAGGAATCCTGAGGAGTTAGGCAGGTGGTTTTAACTCTCTCCTCCCCAGCCCAACTCTGGGTACGCGAGTCCATCCCTTCCGGCCCCACGCTAGAGACTCCGTCCCCCTGGCCCGTGCAGCCCACACTCACCAGCTCCAGCCTCAGCGCCATGATCTTGTCCCCCAGGCTGTGGCCCGTGCTAGGCGCCCCTGAGAGCAGCAGAGCGCCAGAGGTTCCCGGCTCCCACTCGCCTCGCAGCCCGCGGAGCAGCCCTTCAGGGGTCTTCCTGCCCACCTTGCCCTCCACGTCTCGCAGGTCAGGCGTCTGGGACTCCGCAGTCCCCTCCATGCGGGCCTAAGCCTGAACGGGGTGGGGCGACCGGACGCCGGGATCCCGCTCCCGGGGGGGTCCTCCTTTTTCGGCAGCTAGTGCCGGGCGGAACCGGTGGGTCCCCGCCCGCACTCTGTCGCGGGGAGGAGGGCGCCGTAACACTCAGAAAAGCGGCGCAGAGCTCGGTATGTGTGTGTGAGAGTGTGGATCGGGTGCTGCGCATACACCTCTGGCTACAGAACGGGTGAGGCTGGGTGATGCTGAGTATTCACCTGAAGGAGACTCAGCGCCTTCTCCCGACTGTCGCGCAGAGTCCAGCCAGGCACTCAGCAGGCGCCCAATGAATGTTTGCTGAAGGAAGGTTAAGCACCCTCCGTTAGGGAAGTGGGATTTTAAGGAAGAGTGCTAACAGAGCTACAGAGGGTTTTGGAAGCCTTCTTGGAGTAGATTCTTTACCGTCTGAGCCACCAGGGAAGCCCCTGGAGTAGAGGAGCTGGGTCTAAAACAGTGGTGGGAATTTAACTACACACACACACACATACACACACACACACACACGGTGTAGCCACTAAATTTAGACTAAAGGAAAGGAAGTCAAGTTCTTCTGGCCAGTGAGGAGAAACCAATATTGAAGCTGATGCTTCTCATACTTGACTGTACATATATGGATTATCTGCCAATCTTGTTAAAATGCACATTATGATTCTGTAAATCTAGGGTGGGGCCAGAGATTCTGCATTTCTAACAAGCTCCCTGCTGGTGGCCATGTGGCTGGTCCAGGGACCACATTTTGAGTAACAAGGTTATAAAAGATGGGTCTAAGATGCTTGGATTTTATTCTATGGGCAATGAGGATCCATAAAAAAAAAAACTTTTTATGCTCTGACTTGATTTTGTTTTTTAATCCAAGTAATTCTAGTCCATGGCATCAGGAAGGTTTATTATTAAAAGATAGTTACCCTGACCTATCCTTTCCCACATCTAGTCCCAATTCCCAGAGGCAACCACTTTTAGCTATTTTTTCCTGGTGTTTATACTCATAGCTCCACAATAGGCTTTTATCACCATCTCCTGATTTTAAACATTGTCTACTGACTTCCTATTATGATACACAAGATTTACTGCAATTCTATACTTCCCTCCTTCCATTGGCCCTATACATTTCTATCATTTTTTAGGTTGTTACCTTTGTAATTTTAAGTAATATACTTTTCTTTAGTATGCCTTGATCCATGAAAGGGTTTTAAATCAGAGACAGACAAAATAGACTTGCCTTTTTGAAAAAATACTCTGGATTATGCAAGGAGAATTAAAGGGGTGAATATCTGAAGTCAAGGAGACAAGGTAGAAGGCAAGAAACTAAAATGTCCTGCACAGGGGCTGGTTGTGAAGTTGGAAAAGAATTAGACCTGAATGGAGGAGGACTCTTTAGAAGGTATGATGGACAAGACTTGATAACTAGTAACATTCATTTATCTATACTGTCATTCAATAAGTATTTGTTCAGAAAGCAAATGATTTCAAAAAATATTATGGAGAATCTGCTATGTTCTAGCCATGGTATGTGGTACAAAGAATATAACGGTGAGCAAACAGACCTGGCCTGATTGCTGGAGAGAGACAGGGAATTGAGGGTGACTCCCAGCTGTTTGACCTGATGCTATTCACCAAGGAAGGGAACCCAAGAAGACTGGGACTGAGGAGAGATGGTTCTTGCAGGAGTCATGTTGAACTGAAGGGGCCTATGAGAATGTTCACACAGTAGTTGAACACAGGTCTGTCTGGAGCTCAGAAGAAAGTCTGCAGAAATGAGTTTAGAAATCTAGATGAAAAAAAAAAAAAAGAAATCTAGATGGTTAGAGAGCTCATGAGAATGGATGAGATCTTCTATGAAGAGTGAGTTTGAGGAGAAAAGAGGGTTGGGGAGAACCCCGAGGGACACCTTTTTAAAATATGTTGGGATTTATTCTGTTCTAACACATACTTACTTATTAGAAGTCACTGATTGCCTGAACGACTAAGATAAGCCCTGTTAACATTTTGAGGATACCATCACACCATTTTAAGAAGCAGATGGAATACGGAGAGCTCGAAAAAAATCTAATCTATCTTCTGGCTTCCTCTGTGTCCTTTTAATCCACTGTCCACAGAACAGTAAATTTTCTCCTGAATTGAATTATATTGCTTCCTGCCTAAAACCGTGCCATGGCCACCCACTCATTTCAAATAAGCATCACCATCCCCTGGAAACTTTTTAGAAATGCAGTATTCTGCTTTGCCCTCCAGACTCCTAAATTAAAAACTCTAAGAATGGGGCACAGCAATCTGTTTTAATAACCCCTCCAAGTGATTCTAATGCAAGCTGAAGTTTGAGAACCACTGTGTTAAGCTAAATGCTTCACACCTCCTGAACTTTATTAAGTGTTGTTATTATTATCAGTATAGTGAGGGGTTAAGAGGAATCTGGAACCAGACTACAAGGGTTTGAATTCTAGCTCTACCAACTTTGTGATACTGAGCTTCATTTTCTTTGTCTCTAGCATTGGGATAGTAATAGTTCCTACCTCTTGGAGCTGTTATGGAATTAGATGAGTTAATATAGTACGGTGCTTACTTAGAACAGCGACTGCCATGCAGTAAGCATCATGTATGGGCATCCACATTTCACAGAGAAGGGAACCTGTGCTGAGAGGTGAAATGACCTGCCCAAGGTCTAGAAGAGTGGTATAACCAGGTTTTAATTCCCCGTAGTCTTCAATGGCCTCGCATACACTAGACCTAGGTGCAGCCTCGCTCAAGCAAAGGGAGGTGGGTGTCTATGTTCCAGGCCTGTCGCCCTTCTGACCCTGGCGCGCATCGAGGTCTAGTCAAAGGCTCTAAGACTCCGACCCAAATCGGGTTTGCCATCACGCGGTCCTGGAGGCCGGGGAGCGGCTCTCCCCCAGCCGCCCACCCGGCCAGCCGGCTGCAAAGCATCCGAGGGACCGGGCACTAGCAGGACTCGCGGGCAGCAGACACGGGCCGCCGCCCTAAGCGCCGCCCGCCGCCCTCTCACCCCGCGGCGGCGGCGGCGGCGGCGGAAGCGGGGAGGCGGGCCGGCCGGTCCGGGGCGGGGCGGTGAGCGGCATGGAGGAGGCGGAGGCCGCGGCGCGCCGGGCTGAGCTGTGCGGGCCCGAGTGGGGCCCGAACGGGGCCCGGGCTCCTTGAGATGTGAGTGTCTCTGGACGGGGTTCCAGGAGGGGTGGCGTGTCCCGGGCGGATCCCCCGACTGCTCGGGCGGCCCCGAGCCCCGGGAGGAAGAAAGCAAGGCCAGATCGGAGGGGGCGAGGGCCGAAGCGGATAGAGAATGGTGGTGTTGGGGGTTCGCTGCCCTTTGCTCACCCCAGCACTAGGAAGGCCTGGGGCTTCATTCTTTTAGGGACTGATGAGCCTGAGAGTCGATTATTTGGCCTCCACCCCTGGGACAGTGAGCAGTCCTGTCAGTTTCCCCAGCCCCAGGGGAGTTTCCAGGTGTTCTGACCCCTTTGAAGGTTTCCTTTCCAGAGTGGTTGAGCTACTTTACCTGGGTCACAGAGCATGGATGCCTGCAGGGAAGAATTACTGGGGGGTCCTCCTTCATCTTCCTAGGAAAACATCAGGCTCTGGGAAGAACACCTTACCCCATGTGACCCTCTGGTCTCCTCAGATTCCTGCAGGCATGGGTTGGCCAGGACAGTGGTGACCCCCGCAATACGACATGGACGACTGGAAGCCCAGCCCCCTCATCAAGCCCTTTGGGGCGCGAAAAAAGCGGAGCTGGTATCTTACCTGGAAGTATAAACTGACCAACCAGCGGGCCCTGAGGAGGTTCTGTCAGGTATAGAGGTGTCCCCAAACTCCCAGGGGCTCCCACTCAGCTTTGCCCCCAGCCTAGGCTAGGGTCACGGGACCTACCTTGGCTGGCCCCACCCCAGAAAGAGGCAGCAGCTTCCTAGAAGGGAAACTTCTTTGTCTCCCGTCCCTACCAGGTAGTGGTTCGGGCCCAGAGTTCTGGAATCAGAACCCAGGTACAACCTCCTAGGCTTCTGACAAAGCTAAAGTTGGATCAGGAAGGCTTTGCCCAGGGCACACACCTGTCAGACAGGCAGGGCTAGGACCCAGGTCTTCTGATTCCCCGTGTGGTTCTCTGGGACTGGCTCCATCTCTAGGAACTAATTGTGGAGGGGACCAAGGAACTCAAGGCCTCCAATGGAAGAATACAGGAATTCTGGGTAGGGAGCGCCCTGATGGAAGGGGAATGCCTCTGAAAGAGGTGGTCATGAAACTGGACCCCAGTCTGGGGGAGTAGAACTGGTCACACAGAGGGAAGACAGGCAAACCCAGGTTCTCCCCCATGTCATCACTTCAGCCAGAGTTCTCATTTCAGAAAGACCCTCAGTGATCTGGAGGGGGTACACCTCTTTATCATCCCCGCCCCTCCCCTCAGACAGGAGCCGTGCTTTTCCTACTGGTGACCGTCATTGTCAACATCAAGTTGATCCTGGACACACGACGAGCTATCAGTGAGGCCAGTGAAGACCTAGAGCCAGAACAAGACTATGGTAGGGCCAGGCTGAGGCTGGGACTGGTGGTGGAGGGAGGTCCCCTGGGATACTCAGGCTGAAATGGCAGGCAGATCCCAGACTTGGCTGGAGGGACCATCTCCAAGACCTGTCACACCATCACAGATGAGGCCCTGGGCCGACTGGAGCCTCCACGGCGCAGAGGCAGTGGTCCCCGACGTGTCCTGGATGTGGAGGTATACTCAAGCCGCAGCAAAGTGTATGTGGCAGTGGACGGCACCACGGTGAGTGGGCTGGTGCCTAGTGTAAAATATGTGAAATATATCATATGTAGCAGGTATTATCAAAAGTGATAATTAATATTAGTAGGCAGTTACTTCATTGATTTATTTATTTTTCTAACTACTTCCTACTGCCTTCTTTGATCTTGGCCTTGGCCTGGACACTGGGAATCCAGAGGTAACCAGACCTGGCCCTTACTTTGAGGGGTTCAGTCTGATAAACTGTGACAGCTCCAGCATGAGGCAGAGATAGTCAAGGGCTCTAAAAGTCATGACAGCGGGAGCATATTGTAGAAAGATGGGATCTCTTTTCATGGGAGAACTATGGAGACTTCCTGAAGAGGTGGCCTTCAAGCTGGGTTTGAAGAGAACTATGTGACCAGAGGCAGAGGAAGGAGGGGAGGTTTTGTTTCATGCATCTGTTGCTGTAAGTGCCCGTAAGACAGAGAGACCTCAAATGCCAGAATGAAGAGTTTGTCCTTGTCTCCACTACTTTGCAGGTGCTGGAGGATGAGGCCCAGGAGCAGGGCCGGGGCATCCATGTCATCGTCCTCAACCAGGCCACGGTGAGTTTCTAAGGGTAGGGGACCTAGAGGGCCGGAGCTAAGTCCTCCTTGCTGGTGACACTAACTCACAAGAGGTGTGTCTCCTGCCAGGGCCATGTGATGGCAAAGCGGGTGTTTGACACCTATTCACCTCATGAGGATGAGGCCATGGTGCTGTTCCTCAACATGGTGGCACCTGGCCGAGTGCTCATCTGCACCGTCAAGGTCAGTGACTTGCCCTTGGCCCCATTCCCAATGCCCCTAATTCAACTCTGCTTGTGGCCCTGGGTTCGTTTCCCTAATATGGCAGAGTGGCAAAAGCCTCTGGAGGAAGGTGACCAGATTCCAATCCTAGCTTTGTCAGTGGAGAGCACGACAGAGTCCCTACCCTTATGGAGTTTATACCCACAGGGGAAGATCAACAGAAAGCAGCCAGATAAATCTATAATGTCAGGAAACGATAACTTACATGGAGAGGAAAATAAGCAAGGGAGACAGGGTGATGGAGTGTGTTTTAGAAAGGGAAGGCCTCTGTAAGTGAAATGACGTGTGCACAGAAAGCTGGAAGAAGTGAGGAGTGAGCCATGTGAATATCTGAAGAAAGAGCATTCTAGATGGAAAGGCAAGCACAGAGGCCCCTAACTGGAAAGGTGCTTGGCCTGCTTGCGGAACAAGTCTGCCAGTGGAGCTGGAGCAAGATGGGGGAGGGGAGGAGGAGGGTAGTAGGGGGATGGCAGGGAGATGGCAGGGGACAGAGGTGGGTACTGTGGGACCATGGTAATGACTGATTAGCCTGGTGACCTTGAGTGAGTCTCAGAATCTAAGCCTTCAGTTTTCTGGGATGTGATAATTCGAAGAGCTGATTTAAAAGGTTTTACATGGTGCTTGACCTGTAGTTAGTATTCCCTGAGGCCAAGTCTCCTGGAGCTATGCCAGTCAGGTTGATCACCTTCTCTGGTCTCCTAGGACGAGGGCTCCTTCCACCTCAAGGACACCGCCAAGGCTCTGCTGAGGAGCTTAGGCAGCCAGGCTGGCCCTGCCCTGGGCTGGAGGGACACCTGGGCCTTCGTGGGACGAAAAGGAGGTGCCGGCACCATAGGCATTCACCCTGTAGTATTCAGGGCCTGGGAGGAGCAAAAGTTCAGGAGATGGGGTGGGGTAGGGGTCCGATCGAAGCTGGTGGTGGTGGGCTGGATGAAGCTGGGCCAGGAGACGGGAAGAAGATCCAGAACTAGAGCCTGGATCTAGGGCCCCCATTGCCCCTCATTTCTGCCCCCTGCCAGGTCCTGTGCTTGGGGAGAAGCATTCTAAGTCACCTGCCCTCTCCTCCTGGGGGGATCCAGTTCTGCTGAAGACAGATGTGCCACTGAGCTCAGCTGAAGGTGGGGTCAGTGGGGGCTGGGCTCCAGGGCAGTACCTGGGCTGGGGGGTAGGCATTTGGGTTCTCTTTACAGGGCTTCGTTCTCGACTGGGTGTCTGGTGTTCTCCAGACCACACTGGCCTCATTCTCCCATCCTGTTGACCTCATCTCCCCCCCGTCAGAGGCAGAGTGCCACTGGGCAGACACAGAGCTGAACCGTCGCCGCCGCCGCTTCTGCAGCAAAGTCGAGGGCTACGGGAGCGTGTGCAGCTGCAAGGACCCCACCCCCATCGAGTTCAGCCCTGACCCAGTGAGTGGGGCTTTGGGCAGTGAGGCCCAGACTCTTTCCCAGCTTGCTGGACCTCAAGGAAAGGTCCAGGGTGGGCTTTTCCTGCCCCAGCCTGGGAGGGAACTAGGAGCTGAACACTCTTTCTCCCTCAGCTCCCAGACAACAAGGTCCTCAATGTGCCTGTAGCTGTCATTGCGGGAAACCGGCCCAACTACCTGTACAGGTGAGCCCGGGAGTGGGCTGTATCTAGCACTGAACAGGAGGTTGCTAGTGGTGGGAACCCCAGGCTCATGTACCTGCAGGAAGAATGCTTGAGGTGGGTGGAAAGGCAACAGATTCTGGGTCCCTTCACCTATGTGGGTGAACATGGGGAGTTGGGGCCCATCTGTAAGTACAGAGGAGTCCTGATTTGGGGGGACAAAGAGGTCTAATCCATCCCTGGGCCCCCCAGGATGCTGCGCTCTCTACTCTCAGCCCAGGGGGTGTCTCCCCAGATGATAACAGTTTTCATCGATGGCTACTATGAGGTGAGTGGGGCTTGGGGGCTTTGGGCAAAGCAGAGTTCAGGGTTGCAGGTACTGAGTAGCAATGATCACAGAGGCCTGGCAGGGGAGACAGCCCAGGTAAGGGCTGTGAAACATGCAGGGCTTGACGAGACAGAACCTGCAGAGGTGGGCCGGGGGTGGAGTTGAGGTTGGGGGCTGACATGATGGCCGTGCCCCTTAGGAGCCGATGGATGTGGTGGCGCTGTTTGGTCTGAGGGGCATCCAGCACACTCCCATAAGCATCAAGAACGCCCGAGTGTCTCAGGTACCGCCTGGGTAAGGATGGAAGGGGCGGACACTTGGCTCCACTGTCCACCCCAAAGCTCATGTGCCTTATTCCTACTCCCCACCCAGCACTACAAGGCCAGCCTCACTGCCACTTTCAACCTGTTTCCGGTGAGTAGTAAGGACAAAACTCTTGGACTTAGAGGGGGAAAGTGAGCATAAGTTTGGTCTTACTATATAGCAAGTTCTTCCTCTCTCTTGGCCTCATCCTCCTGATATGAAAAATGGGGGCAGTGCAGCCTGAGAAGTGGGATGGAAGTGGGAGCGACATGGGATGAGAAAGCCCCCTAGGGCTCATGTTGTCCCCCTCCCCCTTTAGGAAGCCAAGTTTGCTGTGGTTCTGGAAGAGGACCTCGACATTGCTGTGGATTTTTTCAGGTGAGAGGGGTGCTCCTCCATGCAGCTCCAAGCTGCATAGGGCCTCTTTGCTTGACTGGGTCTCCAGGGAGGAAGCCCCCCCCCCCCACTCCAGTGGGGGCTCTTAGAAAGCTTTCTGGAGGAAGCAGGCTCCAAAGTGGGGGGAATGCCTGAGCAAAGGTAGGCTGGCTGGTGTTGGGGCAGGAGGAGAGAGCAGAAAGGATGAATGGAAACAGAAGGGATGAATGGGGTTTGAGGGGAAGGTGGAAGGAGGCATGACTCCTGAGTCCCATCTCCAGCTCTTCCAGTATCAGTGTGTGACTGGGTTTGTCCTTGCCCCTCTCTGAACCCCTGGACCCTGCCTCTCAGTTTCCTGAGCCAGTCCATCCACCTGCTGGAGGAGGACGACAGCTTGTACTGTATCTCTGCCTGGAATGACCAGGTAGGCTGAGCAGCCAGGGGTCAGCTGAGGGATGGGTAGAGGCCCCAAGCTAACACTTCCTCTCGTGGCCGCCTGTCCACAGGGCTATGAGCACACGGCGGAGGACCCAGCACTGCTGTACCGTGTGGAGACCATGCCTGGGCTGGGCTGGGTGCTCAGGAAGTCCTTGTACAAGGAAGAGCTTGAGCCCAAGTGGCCCACACCAGAAAAGGTGCCCTGGCAGGGAAGGGTGAGTGGGCTGGAATCCCCTGCCAGCTCGAACCTCTTGAACTCTGAGTGTCTTCCACGCTGCCAGCTCTGGGACTGGGACATGTGGATGCGGATGCCAGAACAACGCCGAGGCCGAGAGTGCATTATCCCTGACGTGTCCCGATCCTACCACTTCGGCATCGTTGGCCTCAACATGAATGGCTACTTCCATGTGAGTAGGAGGCAGGGGTGTTGGGGCAGGGGGGCACAGTGTGGTAGATGGGTCAAGAGCATGGGCCCGAGCAACCTCAGCTCTGCCACTCACTAGCCATTTAGCCTTGGGAAATTATTAGTAACTGCCTTTTGCATTAGTTTCTTTATTTGAGAAAGGAGGATAAAAATACCACCTACCTCACAGGGTTGTGAGACTTAAAGAAGTTGGTATGAGTAATATGCTTTGGACTGTAAACATTATATAAGGGTCAGCTGGTATTATTTTTATTATTGCTATTCTTAGCACTAGACTGTGGGTGTGGGGAGGGTATTTCTGCAGCCACGCACTCGTCCAGCCCTGCGAATTGTGCTCTCTCCTATCCTTATAAGTGCTGAGGGTGAAGCCTCAGCCTGAAGTGAACAGGGAGGGCCCCAGTCCCCACCCCTTCATGGCTGTGTCCAAAGGGCCACTCCCCAGTTATAGTCAGGGAGACCTTGAGAGAACCCAGTGTGAAGGAATGGACAGCTTCCAGTTTGGAACCTCCTAGAAGCCAGGAGCACCTTCAGAGGATGGTTACTATAAGACCCCCACTCATTTCTGAGAGGAGCAGGGAGTGACCTCCTTTCCCTCACCCTCAGCTCCTTAGTCATGAAGTTCCCTCCCTCCCAGTCCTACCTGTCGCTTTGCAAGCCTCATTCCCGGCTTCTGTGGCCCTGGAACAGCAGGCCCAGGGAGAACCACTGGAGACAAGGACCAGCTCAGGGGCCAGTAGCATGAGATGTCAGTGTGAACTCTCTGGCAATTGTGGAGCCAGATTAAAGCTAGTAGCATGCTGCCAAGAGGATGAGGAAGACAAGGAAATTAGAGGGACTTCTATAGGTCTAGGACTTCATCTGTGGGTCTCGTGGATATGTGGTGGGTCGGCAGGCAGGTGTGGGCCAGCCAGGGTAAGGCCCTGCTTTTTACCTTCACACCCCTTCCAGGAGGCCTACTTCAAGAAGCACAAGTTCAACACGGTTCCAGGTGTCCAGCTGAGGAACGTGGACAGGTAGAGGCTGCGGACACAAAGGGGAGATCTAGGAGTCTTGATAACCAGTACTTGACAGGCCCTTTCCACCCTGGGGCTGGTGTATTTACCCCAGCCCTGTTGCCCCCAATCCCCATGTGATCCCTTGAGGGGTTACCCCTCCCCTGGACTGATCCCCTCCCCTGACTCAGCTCTCCTTCTCCTTCAGTCTGAAGAAGGACGCTTACGAAGTGGAAGTTCACAGGCTGCTCAGGTATGGCTGAGGGCAGTGAGAATATGTGTCAGGGAGTGAGGAGAAGTCAAACACTGGGAGTCTTGGCCCCAGAGTTTGTGGGGCCTAATGCAAAATGAAAACCAGGGTCCCTTGTTCAAAAATTATTAAGAAGTTCAAGATAGCCACAGTAGAGCATTAAAAGCACAGGGCCTGTGTGACACAGTCACGAGGTGGGCCTTGTCTTGGCCTTTCTCCCCCGCCCCCTGCTGCAGTGAAGCGGAGGTTCTGGACCACAGCAAGAACCCTTGTGAAGACTCTTTCCTGCCAGACACAGAGGGCCACACCTACGTGGCCTTTATCCGGATGGAGAAGGACGATGACTTCACCACCTGGACTCAGCTTGCCAAGGTGCTCCAATACCATACCTCCCCCAGGAATACCCTTTCCCAAGATACAGGGAGCCTTTCTGGACTCTTTACTTCAGAACCTTCTCTTCATACTCTCAGAGCCTCTCTTCTAACCCCCTTCACAAATCCCTAGTCTTGAAGGCGCTGTCTCTTGCAAATTGAGATGGCTGCTGAGGGGGGTGGCGCTGGGCCCTCACCACAGCTCTCTGACCGATGCCTTTGCCACCGCCCGCCCTCCCCAGTGCCTCCGAATCTGGGACCTGGATGTGCGTGGCAATCACCGGGGCCTGTGGAGACTGTTTCGGAAAAAGAACCACTTCCTGGTGGTGGGGGTCCCAGCCTCCCCATACTCGTGAGTGACCCTATCCTGTCCTGGGAAATGGAGACTCATGGGATTTGGCGATGTAGCTAATGACTGCTTCCCTGTCCATATTCCTGTTCTTTTCTCAGGATGAAGAAGCCACCATCAATCACCCCAATTTTCTTGGAGTCACCCCCAAAGGAGGAGGGAGGCCCAGGAGCTGCAGAACAGACATGAGACCTCCTCCAGGAACCTGCAGGGCTGGGTACTGTGTACCCCCAGGCAGGCTAGCCCTTTACCCAATCCTGTAGGATTTTGTAGACACTGGCAGGGGCTGGGTCTGGTTTGTTTTTAACATGAGACTTAATTACTAACTCCCAGGGGAGGGTTCCTCTGCTCCAACACCCCTGTTCCTGAGTTGGAGGTCTATTTATTTACTTCCTTGTCGGGAAAGGGCAGGAGAGTACCTGGGAATCACTGGTATCCCCGGGCAGCGCATCCTGCCTTTTGCATACTCCCTCCTCCCAGGCCTGACTCAGAATCTAACGTATTTATTGACTGTCCTGAGGCCTTGGAAACAGCTGAAGCCTGGAGGGCCTTGATTCTTTTTTTTTTTTTTTTTTGGACTGGGGTGCTGCCCTGAGGGTGGGGCAGGCTCTTACTCAGGAAACTGCTGTGCCCAACCCATGGACAGGCCCACCTGGGGCCCATCTGCTGATGCAGACTCACTCAGAGACCCTCAGACACTGAACCAGGCCTCTTCTCAGCCTCCTCTTTGTCCAGATTTCCAAAGCTGGATAAGGTGGTCATTGATTAAAAAAGGAGAAAAGCTCTGGGGATGTGTCTTGTGACTGTGTGTGTATGAGAGAGAGACACACACGGATGGGTGGGAGAGAGAATGGTCATGATAGATGGTGAGTTTTCTTTACTATCCTCCACAGGTTTATTTTCCACTTGGGCTTCCCTTGTGGCTCAGTTGGTAAAGAATCCACCTGCAAAGTAGGAGAGCTGGGTTCGATCCCTGGGTTAGGAAGATCCCCTGGAGAAGGGAAAGGCTTCCTACTCCAGTATTCTGGCCTGGAGAATTCCATGGACTGTATAGCCCATGGGGACACAAAGAGTCAGACACATCTGAGCGACTTCCACTAGTGCCATTTGGCCACCAGGGGATGCCCGAGTCTCAAACTCCAAGATTTTTACCTAAGGTCCACCCTAGAACAACTGAGCCTGACCTTTGCCCCCTACTTGGGACTGAACTCAGAGCAGCCACCCCACGCCCTGTCACCACTGTTCAATTAACCATCCTACTGTTTCCTGCCTCATTTGTCTGGGCCAGAGCACCTGTCCCCAGAAATGGAGCAAGAGAGAGCAAAATGGAATAGCTGGGGATGAGGAGGTGATGGAGAGCAGGTGAGCATAGTGCATGTGGGAAGGAAGTAGGCAAGACAGAGCTGAATGTCCCTCATGCAGGAAGTAAGGAGTGCACTGCAGATGGAGACACAAGAACAAGGATGCCTGTGGCCCTTAGGGTACTTTGTATACAGATTCTATATCTGAGCATTTTTCCAGGGAAAAGCAATCATTTTCATCAGATTCTTAACCCAACCAATGATCCAGAGATTAGGAAGATGTAAATCATGCAAGTCTGCCAGAAGACGGAAGAGATTACCAGAGGAGTAGTTGATACAGCCCAAGGCATGGCATTTGGGGAATCTGTGAAGGACTTAAGTTCATGAAAGTGAGTATAGGACAGTTTGAGAAGGGGTCTGCCTGCAGAGCCCTTGTAAATTGAGCTGGATGAGCTCCTTACATGGAGCCTTTGGCCCAGGAGGCAGGAACTGGCAGGAACTCTGCCCTGTCACCAGCTCTCTGCCTCTGCCTCTCCCACTGGTGCCTGGAGCCCTGCTCAGTGATGGCAGGGGCAGTATGTCGCTCCGACATTTCTCGCCACCTTGACGCCTTCAGTGTTTGCCTCCAGAGGTAGAGATAGTGTTCGAGGTGCCACACAAGCCAGGTTGAGGAGCAATTAACCCATAATGAGGTGGAGGAGGCCCGCCCAGGGCAAACAAATCCCTTGCAACCTCTGTGTGTGCACCTGGGGGTGGGGCGGAGTGAGGCACAGAGAGGTAGGATGGGTACTGAGTGCTCCACCTGCCCATTCCCCAGCAGACTCTTGATCTGGGCCTTGAAGACTAGCTCGGACCGTGTTGCACTGGCAAGGTTGCAGTTCTTTTTTGGACTCAGGACAAGTGATGGTTCTGGGTTGCCCCAGTAAAGCCTGGGAAGAAGGATCCAACGGTCAAAGGGAGGCAAGGAGGACTGGTTTGCCAGGCTGGACTTGGCTTGGAGGTAGACACCATACCCTCTGGCCATGGCCTCCCACCTTAGTGCTCTCTCTTCTGCAGCAGTGATCAGATGGTTGTGTGGGATGTTGTGACTTAAAAGTGAATCATGCTGCCATGTCAGCCAGGACCCCACCTGGCTCAGGAGTCAGATGGGCTGGACCCAAATCCACGCCCAGCTTTTCATAGGAGGTTGTGGGCCTGGAACAAGTCACTTGGCCTCTCTAGGCCCAGTTTCTGGAACATGGGGGTAGTTAAGACTAAATAAGAGATCAGATCTATAGAGCACTGGGTGACCAAGACAGAGTAAATGAAATTCTTTCTGATGGCCCCAAAGCAGGGACAGGTGCGGGGCTCTGCCTGCCTGGGAAGGGTAGGCAGCTTGGGTGCCCTGGTTGGGGCTTCTGGAGGGCTTCCCAGAACTTAAGGAATGACCCTCTTCCATTGTCTTGGCAGTATTTTTAGTCTCCCTGCCCCCTATTTGGGCACAAGCTTGTTATTTTCATAGTTTTCCAGTCCAGTGCCCCTACCCAGGAAGGGGTAGTTTCAGGCCAAAGTCCTCCCACATTATAGGGCTGCAGACTGGCCCAGCCCCCACCACCTCCCTCAGTGTCCTCTTGGTCATTCTTGTTAAGCTCCCTTCCAGGTCTGCAATCCAAATGAAGGTGAGAAATAGCCACCCACCTCCATGCTACTTCCCTTCTGCTGCCTTTCCAGGAGCCTCTGAGTCAACAACCCCACAGGAGTTTGAGGCCAGTGTAGACAAGTTTGAGGTCCCTCTCCCCAAGGATACACAGAGTCCAGACAAACATTTTAATGGGTTTATGAGTCCTGAAATGCCTTCTACACATCCGCTCAGTAACTGCTGATTTTGTATATGCTCATGATATGGGCTACCTTTCTCTAATCCCCCCTGTGGAGTACTGGGATCCCCAAGAGCACCCCCCACCCTTGCTCTGAGGGAGTATCAAGTGTTTAAGGGACAGACTGGAGGAATGGGTAAGAGGACTGGCTACCTTAGGGGCTCTGGAATAGAAGGACCCCAAACCCACCAATAGAAGGAAATGTCAGGCTCCACTTGAAGGGGGTGGTGTCCATTTGGCCCCTAGTCCAGAGGAACAAAGTCAGGTCAACTCCGGCCCAAGAGACACTGTTAGATTCTGTCCCCACCCTGATCACTGCCTCTTCACAGTTTTCATTCGACAGCAGCAGTGGTGGAAGGAGAAGCCAACTTATTCCAGATTGCAGTACAGATACATGGACACAATCATGGCAGCCAGCTGGTGGGAAAGGAACAGGGAGAGATGAAGAGACATACCGGGTTCCTTAAACCTTAGTTCCCTGCCCCCTAGACATTGATCGTGAAGCTTTGTTAGAAGTCTGTCTCTTCCAGAGAGGCCGCAGAGATGGGTCAGGCAGCCCTGAACCAGGGTGGGGGATATCCTGCCCCAAGCTCCTCTCCTTACCTCCAAGCCCCCAATTCCAGCTGCCACACCACCCACAGTGACTGCATTGGTTCGGATGTCATACAGAAGCTGTTTGAAGCATCCCTTGGGGGAGGGGAGAGAGCATCTACAGTCAGAAGCTGCTCCCACTCTCATTCGGCACCCTGAGGCTGTTAAAGCATCCCAACCTCCTAGGCCAACCTTTACCTGAACACTCATGTTACGGGCGCTGACACTGTTGCAGGGTTCCATGAACAAGTGGTTGACACTGTCATAGCAACAGTATGGGGGAAAGGTACCACTGCTCATTACATAGGGTGAGCCCTCAAAATCTGTGTAGTTGGTGAAGCCACAGCACTTGAGCTGGAGATGAAGAAAAAATGATCAGAGGGGCCTTGCTTATTTCTCCCCACCCCCAAGTCTCCCCCAGCCCACCTTACCCCTTCCATGGTGGAGTTCCACACTTGAGTGAAGTCTTTTTGGGAACCGTACTCTTTCTTGATGTTGGGCACCACCACCACCGTCAGGAAGTTCTCAGCCTGGGTGGGGAAGGCCAGTGTTTACAGCCTGGTGGGGAGGGCGTGGCCCCCTCTCAGGGCTTTGCCCAATGGTACCCCCTGGCCCCATCCCTGTTCCTTACCAATGTAGTGTACACTAAGGCGACCACAGCAGCTGCAACCTCAGCAATGAAGATGAGGAGGAGGATGAAGAAGAACTGAGTGGAGAACAGGGATCTGAGTTTTAGGGAGAGAGAGCCTCTCATGCCTTCCTTACCCTAACTGTGCTCTGCCCTTCCCCTCAGGAAAACAAGGCAGGGGCCCCGTTTGCTGAGACCCCTGGAATCCAGAGCAGGGTTTGGGGATCCCCAGGGCCTAGTGTCAAGGGTGAGGGGGCCCTGGGCTTTGGTTATGGGCGTGGAGCTGGGTTTGACACACCGTCATGAGGGCACACTTGCTCTCAGTCTGGGCACCGTAGCAGCCCAGGAAACCAAGAGCGAAGAGCACAGCACCGGCTGCGATGAGGAAGTAGCCCACATTGACGAACTGCATGGCAGTGGATGACATCGGCCCGAAGATCTTCATAAAGGATGGTCCATCAACCGACACCCAGATGCCCACTGCCAACAGGGCTGCGCCACACAGCTGGGGACAGAGAGCAGACTTTGAAACAGCGCTGCCAGGCACCTGCCTATCACACAGCTGAGTTAGGAAGATGGGAGATAAGAAACTTTCCCATTTATTGGGTATGGAGTCCAAAAACTCATCCTGTAGGGAGTTCTGACTCATCTTTAGAGCCAGAAAGATGGGAGCTGGGACACTGCAGTTAGCACCAGGCTGCACATCTAGGCAGATGTAAATGGGACCAGGGATTCCAGAAATAGCCACAGGGTGTGGGGGAGGGGCAAAGCTTTCCCTTACCGCTGCCACGGTCCTGCCACATAGCTTGAAGC